TTCTTCCTTTTTTAAATAAATACAATATAATAATACATTTTATTTATGGATGTTTTTCATGACACTCAATGACACATTATGAGCACAATAAAATATCATAAAAAGAAATAAAGCATAAAAACACATATAGCATAAAACGTATAACATAAAACAGATATAAACATTAAAAAAATCAAACAATAAGCTCACCTAAAAAGATTTGTGTGCTGTAACAGCATTTTTGAAGGGTTTTTTTCCCGTTGTTGATGTTAAAATGAATAAATATTGCTAAAATTATGTTATTATTTAAAGAAAAATATTTTTTTTATTGCGTAATCTTAAAGGGTTTTTTAATAGATTTAATAAATAAATATAGAAAATAAATAGTAAATATAGAAAATATTCTAAAAATATATATTCAATTAAATATGAAATTATATATTTGCAAAATATAAAAATATTATATTTTAATATTCTAAATAAAATAAAATATTTAAATAGTTTTAGACTTATAAACGTATTGGTTATTATCAGTGAGTTGATCAAACAGGTTCACAAATCCATCTAAATCTGGCTGAATCAATAATGAAAGTGAACTCTGATCCAACCAGAAATTAGAATCAGAATTATCCATTATCCATAGATTTATTTAATGAAATGGTTCGTAACAGTTGTTCTAGAATGAACAGCATAAATATAGCCTCTTTATGTGCACATTTTCGTAACTACAGATTTGTATATGATTTGTATATCCTCCTCCATTCAGCAGCCGCACTGAACAGCTCTCATCCAGCACATGGAGTCCTGTAGAGCTGTTTTACTGAGTAATAAGCATGACGGAATCGGGTATGAAGGATTTCTGGCTCTCAGCACACCCCATAAATCGGCCTCATAACCTGGGCCGCTCCTCGTGTGCCGCTTTGCTCCATAACAGACCGAGCATTCAGCACAACCGCTGCTCTTAAAAGTGTCTGAGGGATTGTGTGTGATGGATTCTCACACACACACGCGCACACACACACACTCTTATTTTGAAGGATGGTCCCCATGTAGTTCGACCCCGCCACACACAAATTATCCCTCAGAGGATATTTTTCTTTTTATCTGTTGTCCGGTTCACGTCGCGTCCTCTGTAAATAAATCAACTGGGGCCTTTGTTTTGCATCTGTTTCCTTATCTACCCAGCCCTCGTAATTCTGCTTAGACGACCTGCCACAGCCGTGTGTGTGTGTGTGTGTGTCAGCTGCTGTCCACTCCGGTGAGGTTGAATCTGCATATACCACCCTGTGTGTGTCTGATAATGCTGTAAACAGTGTGTGTGGGAGCCTACCGCTGTTTCCTTGAATCAAAGACACACACCTAAACATCAGATACTTAAATATAAGAGTAAACATTATCTGGAGCAGAGCTGCTATAGATTTTGAATTTGTGCACTTTAACCTGTTGTTAGTAATGTTTAGTACTATACAAGATTTTTATTTCATGCTGTTCTTTTGAACGTTCTGTTTATAAAAGAATCCTGAAAATGTATATGTATCAAAAAATGAAACCGCACAACTGTTTTCAACATTGATAATAATCAGAACTGTTTAATGATGCTGAAAATTCAGCTTTGCATCACAGGAATAAATTACAGTATAAAATATATTTAAAGAAAAATCTGCTGTTTGGAATTGTAATCATATTTAACAGTATTATTGATTTTGCTGTATTTTTGATTAAATAAATGTAATTAAAAAGTTGAAAAAGTATTTATCTATTCATTTTACTTCAGTAATTACATTTTTTTTTCAATTGCATCTCACTAGATGTGAACTGCATTGCATTATGTGATGCAGTCTCGTGTTCTCTGGTTGCATGCATGCATGCATGCACATTTTGTCAAATGTAGTTGATCATCCAGTTATTCCATGCATACAAAAAAGTTGGCATACTGGGAACTGTATACATAATGCATACTGCAGAGATAGTATGAGGAGACTGCTAGTGTGCTATTTCCAGTGTCTCTGAAACTGAATTAACAAGTGCAGAGTGCTAGATAGATAGATAGATAGATAGATAGATAGATAGATAGATAGATAGAACATGCTTGTGTAAGGAAGCAGAGAGTAAGGAAGTGAATGAGAGATGTGTTAGTTCAATAAGAAGGATGTGAAGAGGAAGAGATGGACGGAGGAGGATGTTTTCTGGCAGCGTCAGGTCAGCGTTTGCGCTGCGTGTCATGTAGGTGGGTAGCTGTGGATCGGACACTGGTGACGGAGGCAGCACGAAAGATGGAGAGACATTACTGACACGCTGAGCGTAACAAACAGAGACAGAGGAGGACAACAGAGATCTGAGCGGAGCAGACAGCCGCAAGTACGGACAGACAGCTGAGAGTGAGACACGCTGCAAAAGTTTTACTTGCTCTCTGAGATAAACTGCATGGGACAAAAGTGGAGTACGCTTGCAGAGAGCTGTCAGTTAAATGAAGCTAGCGCACCTACTGTACGCCTGGGTCTGAAAACCTTCTCAGGCGGTGTACGGAGGTGGGAAGGTATCAAGACACGACCGAATCCAGTGTGTGCAGAACATCCTGTCCACTGAGACTCCTTATGAAGAGCTGAGATACAAGTGCACATTAAACATTTGCTTCGTCTCCTCTAAAGCTCACTTCAGTTAGTTTGAGATCATCAGACATGACGATGTGCTGCGTTTGAAAGCCGGTTTCCATCTGTATTTTTATACAGAACTGTTGTATGACAAAATGAGTTAGGCTGCTGGCTTTGTTTTCAGACACAGTTTTGGTTTTGTATTTTTATAAAGGGCATTTTCTGCCTTGCTGATCTAACCTTATGATGGATTTATTAACTTTATGACCAAGCACAAAGACCTCTGAATTCAAAAAGGTGTTTTTGTGGCTTTTAGATTAGTTCTGTTAGATTTAAGGTCATCTAAAAGCTAGTGTACTGCTAAACATTTATAAAATACGCTACCGTTCAGAAGTTTGGGGTCAGAATTTATTATTATTATTTTTTTTTTATTAATAATTTTATTCAGCAAGGACACTTTGATTAAATTGATCAAAAGTGACATTAAAGACATTTATAATGTTAAAAAGTTTTCTATTTCAAATAAATGCTGTTCTTTTGAACTTTCTATTCATCAAAACATTTAAATAAAATAAATATTAGACAATTGCACAGTTAGCACAATTGTTTTGAAAATTCATTACAGCATTTACATTACAGGAATAAATTACATTTTGAAATATACTCAAATAGAAAACAGTCATTTTAAATTGTAACAATATTTCACATTATTACTGTTTTACCGTATTTTTGATCAAATAACGGCAGCCTTGGTGAGCATTAGAGACTTCATTAAAAAAAACATTAAAATCTTTCAGACCCCAAACTTTTGAATGGTAGTATAAACTTTAAAATGTTTTAATGTTTCTTTAAAAAAGACCAAAATGAATAAAAAATGACGTTTTGATGAGTATATACAAATAGTGTCCAATAATATGATCTCCAGCCACCTATAAAATGTGTAAATACTAACAGGTAAGGTAGAGTCATTGTGTCTTTGGTTGTTCTTTTTAATAAATTCTCGATGTTATATTGCATCTTTGGTTCTTTAAAGCAGCAGGACAAACTGTAGATGCAGAACTAGAGAATAAAAAGATCTTCTAGATCAGGGTTCCTCAAATCTTGCCCTGGAGGTCCAATGCGCTGCAGAGTTTAGCTCCAACCCTGATCAAACTCACCTACCTGTGATTTTCTAATGATCCTGAAGACATTGATTAGCATGCTCAGGTGTGTTTGATTAGGGTTAGAGCTAAACTCTGCAGGAAAGTGGATCTCGTGGGCCAGATTTGAGGAGCCCTGTTCTAGATCTTCTCCTATTGTAAAACCTTTCCTGGTTTCTCCTTTAAAAGTGTGTGTGGATCATCAGCAAACAGTTTCTCTCTCCGTACAGTGATGACCTTGCTCAAGGTCAGGCGTGATGTGTGGACGCTCTCCTCAGACACCGTTCGCAACAGCCACAAGTGCTTCTCTGAATATTTCCATATTTATGGAGTTCTGATGTGTGTGTCTCTTGTTATCAGAAATATCTGCTTTTTGTTTTTTGGTTTGATATTGTTTGTGGATATAAGGAGATTTGTTTGTCAGCGGTTTAAAAGGCCAAATTCCCTTTCGGTTAGCATGTTCTTCAACAGATCACCTCTATGGATTGTCTTAAATCAAACACAAACATTTTTTTATAATAATAAATATTTTATTTGTAAGAAGCACATATAGTATTATAAAGCACAAAATGTAAGGACATATAGAAAAAGGATGCCAAATTGTATAATAAGGATGCAAATTTAATTAAAATACACTACGATCAAATCTCAAATGTTTTGAGATCAGTAAGCTTTTTTAAATGTCTTTCAAAGAAGTCTCTTCTGCTCACCAAGGCTGCATTTATTTGATCAAAAATACAGTAAAAACTAATATTGTGATATATTATTACATTTGAAAAATAATTGCTTTCTATTTGAATATATATTTAATTATAATGTATTCATTACATTAATGTAATGAATAATGTCATTTATTCCTGTGATGCAAAGCTGAATTTTCAGCATCATTACTCCAGTCTTCAGTGTCAGAAATCATTCTTAAATGCTGATTTGCTGCACAAGAAACATTTCTGTTTATTATCAGTGATGAAAAAAATTAATACTGTAATAAAACCACGTAATATTTTGTGGAAAACTTTGCAGAATTTATTTGAAATAGACATTATAATTGCCTTTAATGCTCCCTTTGATCAATTTGATGCATCTTTGCTGAATAAATTTCAAATTTCTTTAAAAAAAAAAACTGACACCATTTTGAACATTAGTGTATATAATAACTAAAAAGACTGGAAATATATGAATTAACAGCAAAATTGAAATCATATGTGAATGCTTGAAGCTTGTCCGGTTTGAAATGTTTGTCCACAGACTATGATGCGTCATAATGGTGTGATTTTGGTGTGTCCCGTAGCTCCCACGATCCTGAACGAGCTGAACTGGACTCAGTCTCTGGAGAGGGTCTTCATTGAAAACAGTCGTGAGGATCCTTCGCTGCGCTGGCAGGTGTTCGGCAGCGCCACCGGAGTCACCAGATACTACCCAGGTAAAGCTCTTCTGTAGGAAACCCTTCTGTAAACCACAGTACATCCATTTCTGCCAGCAAACTCTGAGTGTGTCCTGTTCTCTCTGTAGCCACAAAGTGGAGAGCGCCCAACAAGATTGACCTGTATGATGTGAGGAGACGCCCGTGGTGAGTGCCGTCACCGGCGCAGGAAAGACTCCATTTAGTCTGACTTTGATCGTGTTGCTTTCTCCGGCTCTTGGCAGCCTCTCCTGGCAGTGAAGTTCAAATTAAGTCAGGCTGCCACAGTTTACAGTGCCGTCAGGATGTGTGAGCGGCATCCGGCGGAGTCAGTCTGTCCCCATGTGCTCGCTTCAGATCTATAGGGAAGACTTTACATTGCGATTTCCTGTGCCGTTGCGTTCCTGCACCAGTATGTGCTGTTCAAGGGACTCTGTAGCAAGCTTTAGCATAAACTGTCTTCTACATTTAGTTTTCTCTTTCACATCAACTACTGTCATGGCAGAACATTAGTTTTTTGTTGTGTGGGTACAAGCCTGGCTTGAGTGCAGCCTCCGAAATTAGAATTAAACCTAGCTATGAAGAGCAAATCAATGGAAAACTGGCTGAAATAAATTTTTTTAGCTGAATTTATTGATTTAGCGGAAGTTATTTTTAGTTAGCATAATTTATTTTTAATTTACAAATTTAAGTATTTATTTCGCTGAATTTAAATTAGATATTTAAATATGATCAAATATGATTTGAAATAAACTAAAGTAATTTTAATTAATTTATTTTATTTAGATTAATTTAAAGTATTTATTTATATTTTAATAATAATAGTTAATAATATTTTTTTACTTGTGCTTTTATTTTTCTGAAGATATTTTAATTTGTTCATTCTGCATGTTATCTATTTATTTACTTGTGCATTCATTTAACTGATGTTATTTTATTATTATTATTTTTATTTAGCATCAGTTATTTATATATTTGGCTGGAGTTATTTATTTATTTACTTATACATTTAAGTTTAGCCTAAATTGGTTATTTTTATTAATTTAGGAGAAGTTATGTAATTATTTTTTTATGCATTTAGATGACGTTAAAATATTTATGCATTTTTTAAGCTGAATTTTTTAAGTGCTCAGTAGGTAGCGCATGTAGCGGACGCTTTCATCCAGAGCGACTCACAGTGCACTTGTTATAGGAACAATTCCCTCAGGATTAGCCCGGGGTTAGGCGTCATGATCGAGGGCATAACTTCAGCCGCTACGCCACATCACCCCTACAGAGAGACGATCACCCACAGAAATACATCTCTGTCTACTTAATGAAGAAAGAAGAAGCTGTTTAGAGGGAAAAGCAAGGTGTTTAAATGGAAAACAAGTTGTTATCAGGTGCTGGCGTGTTAGCCGGCTGGATGAGCGTGCCGCGGTGTTTCCCAGAGTACGGGAGTCTTAGCGAGGCGCTAATGAGCCTCTTCTTTGACAGAGTAATTAAGTTCACACTCAGGGAAAGTGGGAAAAAAAACAATCCCCAATATACCTGTAAGAAGCTTTTAAGCAAAAGACGAACAACACAAGCAGGCAGCTAGTTAGCTTGTTTGGCTGACAAAGCGCTAATGTTGCTGATGAGCCGGAGCGAGCTCTACATTGTTTTTGTTGTGAGGCAACACGCTCTGCAGACTTAATGAGTTGCTTTTAATGCTTTTGCGAGTGTGTAGGCTAGCGGTGCTGTACAGAAGCACAACAGCTCTATAAGCGCAGGGATGATGAATTGGTTTGGAGCGTGCTATCAGCAGGCACTGTGCTCCACATGCTGTTTCTGTTTTCATACGTCTCTGTGCAGTGTGAGGTATGACCAAACTCCTCCTCAGATGAGCGGGCCATCCATTCGTCTCGGACCCCCTTAATGAGTCATTTCCTATCATGATTATGGTGCATATCACAGTATAAGCAGCAGAAATGTTTGTATATGAAGTAACCATGTAATCTGATATTCCACTGTATTACATTTACAAATGAAAGCTATTTTATTTGATTATTTTCTCCTTTTGTTCAAACTTAATGGGCACAAACCAAAATATAAGATTATGCATAAAATGCATGAATACATTTTTCATAAATAAATGATAAATCTAGCATCAGTACAAAAGCAGTTTTGTATGTTGTAACAAAAACAAAATTCTCAGCACAGTAAAACTGGCCAACTGTCAATTATGATGGGAGGAGACACATTTTGCAGCTGTAAAATTCAAATGTGTAATATTATAATATAAATTATACATATATATAATATTAAAATATATATTTATAAACACATAAATAGTTTTATATTTATGTTTATTAAACGTATATTTATAATATTGAATATTATTTTAAATGTTGATATGCATTTCCTAACATATATATATATATATATATATATATTATGATATACATACATTTATACATATATGATACACATTTCATTAGAAATTATGCATAAATGATGAATATAGCATCGTGTTTTGTAACAAAAACAAAATTCTCAGCACAGTAAAATTAACCATCTGTCCGTTATAATGGGAGGATACACATATGTATTATTGTATTTATATTTAATTATAATTATATTCATGTGATATATTACTAAACATAATTTTAATAATATTGAATATTATTTTAAATGTGTATATGCATTTCCTAACATATATATATATATATATATATATATTATGATATACATACATTTATACATATATGATACACATTTCATTAGAAATTATGCATAAATGATGAATATAGCATCGTGTTTTGTAACAAAAACAAAATTCTCAGCACAGTAAAATTAACCATCTGTCCGTTATAATGGGAGGATACACATATGTATTATTGTATTTATATTTAATTATAATTATATTCATGTGATATATTACTAAACATAATTTTAGAATGTTAATTATAATTAAAAATTTTGCTGTGTAAACATTAGAGTCTTTTTATAATATTGCTTTTGCACATTTCATTCTACAGTAGCATATGTTTTACATGTTATTACAATTATTTTTATTTTTATTATTATTAAATATTATTTTTAACCTTAACATAAAAACAAATATTGTTTTTAATCATTTTAATTTACTGAACATTTGAGTATATATATATATATATTAGTGGTGTCAAAATTAGCGCGTTAACGTTTAAAATAAAATAACATTTAAATATTTGACACAATTAACGCTAGGGTTGGCCACCCCACTCACAACTGCTGCTTCTGTCACTTTTTCTCTTAACAAGAAGTGCATTTATTCAGTTGCAGAACGACTGAGAACGGGAGACATTTCTGACGCGCGCTCCTCTTCACTTCGATGCCAGGCACGAGTCAAACGAGCACGGAAACGGTACTGTGCTCGCAGCGCGTGCTCTTCAATTGCATGCACAAGGGGGCCGGCACGCGCTGTAGCCTGTATCCTTTCATATTAAAGCGCGAATTAAACTACGTGCATGCAATGCCGTGACCAGTTACCAAAGTCATGAAGTTACCAAAAAGGCGATTAAAGCTGCCTTAAAACTGTGCATGCATGTAATATATTTTATATTAGTCACATTTACACATGTCTCTGAAATGGTTTTCAAAAGTGTCCTGGAGCAGCCCAGCACTGTCTCCCTCATCTAACACACCCGATTCAACTCGTCAGCTCGTGTTTATTTTAACACTTCAGTCAGTGAATATGCAGCCTGCAAAACACTCAAATAAATATCAAAGAAATAATACAGTTAAACAAGAAAGTAGCCTAAATAACGGCGCGACAAAATACTATAAAAGTCATTATAATCAGTGATGCTACACTGGATGCGGCACGACACGACATGACAAATCCCCGACAGTAAACTGCCTCGTTCTATTTATGAAGTACTGACACAGAGTTCAAATGTCCGGTGTAGACACATATATGTATATATGTGTGTGTATATATACAATTTTAAATAATTTTATTATTTACTAAATATAGATGTATTTTATAATATTGCTGTTGCACCTATTCTCTAAAAGCTTGATGTTTCATTATTTTATAGTACACTTTTTTTACTAATGACATTTATTTTGCATGGCTCTTAAAAGATGTCATTTCCTGTGCCTCTAGGGAGATTAGTCACATGGCATTTAGTGCTCCGGTGATTCACTCCAAATAAATTGGAGCAGGTGAGCAAAGATGGCAGAGGACAATTACTCTGAGTGTGAATGCTGAATGTCTCTTTGCAGTTATTACAGATTTTAGCTTCAGACACATTTGTTGCAGCAGCACTGGCGTCTATGCATGTGTCACAGTAGCCGTCTGCCCACTGCTCTTTAACCCCCACACACGGCGCCGGAGCTGTTTCTCAGACTGTTGCTTGGCAACCTGCGCTCCGCTCTGCTGATTGGCAGGCCGTGGCAGCAGGGGGAGTCGGGATGTGTCAGGTCAAGTTTGCATGATTATGGTCAACACGCTGTCATTGTGTATTACACTCTTTGCACGGCTTGACCACTCAAATAACAGCCTGCTGCTTACCTCAGCTAATGTCTCAAAGACGCCAGAGCAGGAGTTTGGAGGAAACTTTTAATATACTGTGCATTTACAAAATGGATAGTTCTGGTGCTGGATGCTTATTGGTTAATATAGCATCGCGGTCAAGCTAAAGATAATATAGCGATTGCTGTGATGTAAAGTCACTGTTAAGCGTCTATTAGCAACTATTGCACAGGTTTATATATAAAGGTCTTTTTCTTGAAGCAGAGGGATGACACTTTGATAAAACACTTCCATTTTAATTATAAGTTTAGTTATTTGTGAGAATTCAAATGATTTTAAGCTGTGAATATAATAAATATAATAATCTATCTGTCTGTCTGTCTAGATGTGCAATTGCCAGATATATATATATATATATATATATATATATAAATACACATATGTGTATGTATTTTTTTTTGTATCATTTTAAGGCAATATTTAATATTTTACATGTTAAGCTGGTTTGTAAACTATTTTTAAACTGATGAAAAAAATATATTTAAAATATTTCATAATTAATGGGCAATTAAATGCACAGTTAAATAGTTTTTACATATTTCTAAACTTTTTTTTTGTTTGTTTTTTTTTTTACAATTTTGAAACATTTTTTTAAAGGTAGTATTTAAGTAGTTTAAGGCAATATTTA